GCAGGTAGGCATTTGTCAGCCTTCTCTACCTTACTGGTCCCATGTAGTGTGGGCGCTTTGTTTCTGTGGCTTATTTGTGAAGTGAAATGGTGGATGAACTATGAATTACTAAACTGTTTGTTTTGCCAGTGCCTCGGAGTTTTATTCATTTGGTGCCTATATTTAATTGCTAAAGGACAATAACAAATTATCAGTAGCTAAGTGTAAGGCTAAATTACTATTGGGATAATGTTTAGTTTATTTTTTTTGTTTTCTCAATGAAAGAGGTGAGAAAATGTAATTGTTTGAGCAATGGAAATCAGGGAGCTTTTAATGCTTGAAATAAATTGCCATGTGATTGTTGGTGATTGTGGGTGTCCCTAATCTCGGAAGAGTGGGTGCTTTGGTAGTTGTCAACAGTGGGCTAGTGGTTGCTGAGTTGTTAAACCAGCTTGTGAAATCATAAGCAAGACATAACATTGATAACGGTAAAGGGTCTGAAATGAATAATGAGTGTCCGCTTTAGGTTTCATGGGCTGCAATAACTCCTCAGTACTGTATTGTGGGGCTATTTTTTTTTCGGAGGCAGCTAAATGTTTTGAGTTCACGAGCACCTAGTGTTGTTTTTTGTTTTTTTTGTTGTTGATTGCAAGCACGACTGGCTAATAAATAATGATATAGCTTGAATACATAAGTTGAGTCTCTTCTTCTTGCGATCGTGCATCTGTCTATAAGTTTTAACTGTGTGTCAGCAAAAGAACTTACAGGGGGGGGGGTTTTATGAAATATTTCTAGTTCCAGATTTTTTTTGTTCTTTTTCTTGTTCCAATAATCAATTTGAAGTTATAAAAAGTCCAGATATTTGATGAAAGGTTAAAGTCAGGCACCGGTTCTTGTGTTGATGTCAGAAGCAGTTATTTTTAGCACCATAAACTGGTATTTTTCATTTCAACTATATGAGACAGCGAATGCTACTAAAACTTATCTCCAAATATACAACTCCTGTAGTCTATGCTGTACACAGGCTTTGTTTGGCTGTTGGTTTTTGGGTTTTTGGCTGGTTTTTTTGTTTGTTTGTTTTTTGTGTTTTTGTTTTTGTGGTGTGTTTTGTGGTTTTGCGGTTGCACTTTCTTGTGAAGTCTAATACTGCTTTCCTTTGTTGTGTGGTTTGGGTGTTGCAGTGCACATGGTTTTTTGTTTGGTGTCACAAGGGGCGAGGTTATGTGTTTTGTCTGTTTGTTTTTTTGTGGTTTGTTGTTTGTGTTTGGTTTTTGTGTGTTGTTTGGGTGGTGTGTGTGTGTCGTGGTGGTGTGCGTAGTGTGTTGTGTGGTGCGTTATGTGCGTGGGGGGTGGTGAGTTCAAGATGTCAGACAACCACACACCACACACCACACACCACACCACACGCACACGCAGACAGCTGACACGGCACATGTCTGGGACACGCAACACAGGCGACAGCGCAGCCACGCAACGCACACAACAACATCACACGCAATCGCACGCCACACACACAGTCCCACAGGATCAGGATTGTCACTCAAACATACACTCTGTTGACCTATGTTAACGTAGTAAATAAACCAGGTACACTTTATCTAAGGTACACCAAAATGAACATATGCAACCTAGTTTGTTAATAAACATCGTATTAGCAGTATAACTTAGCTTTTTAATTAGTCATTATAAAACACTTAATGTAATGCCTTATTCTACACTGAACCGCCATATTCTACAAGTAATAAGCATTAGTTGAGAGTTTTTCCTCAATAACCCTCTAATTAGTGTTTATTTATTGCAAGTAAGGAAGTTGTTGTACATGAGTTTTGGTCTTAATATGCTCTGCTCAATAAGGGCCTAATAAGGCAGCAGTACCACAAGAATAGTAATTCTCCCATAATAACACTTAACAAATATGATCTATTGTTATGTAACAAGACATGAAACTATAAGTGTTAATTGTGTTTGAATAACTCAAAATTAGGTACTTCTATCTAAGAATATGTTCCCTATTTTAAAGTGAAGTCTTGTTCATAACCAATACGCTAGTAGTTTGACTCTAATTGACCTGAACAGGTTCCCTATTCTAAAGTTGCCTCCTCTTCACACTTTGTAAATACATTATAGCACGCTACTACTGAAAGTAACCTCAATAGTACATGAACAAAGTAGGCACACGTTGAAATATCTGTTTTATTAATGAAACCAGTGTAAGCCTTACACAAAAAGTGACCCTTTTACTCTTCAGGTTGCATAGGGAAAATTAGTAGCAGTCTACTGCCATGCTATTCAGTTCACTTTCTCCTACTTCCTGTACCCGGTTTCCTGTCTAACCGTCAGTACACATTTTACAAAAATATAAATGTGCAAATATGAAACATACAGGTCAATATCCCTTTGCTATTGGTAGCTGAACTGTCAATACCCCAAAACATATTCTTAGATATTATAAATACTTAATTTTGAGTTATTCAAACACAATTAACACTTATAGTTTCATGTCTTGTTCCATAAGAATAGATCATATTTCAACTAATGGCTTATTACTTGTAGAATATGGTCATGTATTATAAGGCATTAATAAGTGTTTTATAATGACTAATAAAAAGCCAATATACTGCTAATATGCATGTTAATTAACAACTAGTAGTTGATGGTTAATTTGTGTACCTTAATATAAAGTGTTACCAAATAACCTAATATCCTAAACTGTGCAACGTTTTTAAATCTAAATCTACTGTCCAGCGTCAAACAGCTTCTTCCTGCCCTCCATACCAGACATGGCCTCCACGTTCTTATGCCAGTCAGTGACCTCCTCTTACTGTTCATAAGAAGAAAATATGTCTCAGTGAAAGCTGTGCTCTTTAAGAATAGCCCCAATAAATCAAGAAATACCAAAGCATTGTGTTATAATTCAAACCTAATCTAAACCTAGGAGTCAACCCAGCCTTGAAACAATCGGATGTTTAAGATTCCACACTTACCTTCTCCTCCTCTTTCTTCACGGTCTTCAGGTTGGCCTTAAAGTCCATGGACTCTTTGACCTTAGCGCCCAGCAGAGCTCCCAGCATGGCGTCAGCTGAGATCTTCACCCTCTTGAGAGCAGGTCGCTTCATGTTACCCTTCAGCTCAATAATGTTCATGGAAAGATGTTCAACCTGCAATAAACAATGACAAATGTAAGTGAAAGGTACACAAAAATGAACACCTTCAAAAATCCAATCAGTCCCAATGAAAATACATTTATCAATAGATCACAAACACAAACTAAGTAAGGCTATTAACCCTAAATGTTTCTAGTACCGGTAAATAATAAAACAGATAATGCTGCTGCTTGTTCATTTGTAAAGAACGGTTTTATTTGTTAACACATCCATGAAGCAAGGATTAAATCAACATGTAAGTCCAATGAAAATAATAAATCTGTACCTCCTTAGTATTTTTCACCACTTTGGCATCAACGTCATAACGCTTTTCATCCACCACGTCAATCTTTCGGTGCAGATCTTTGCACAGAGTCTGCAGACAGAGAGAGAATCAGATTGTGTGTGTTGAACCTGTCGACGAGCATTTAACGGCTTTGCATGTTGCGCAGTTGCAAATGTCAAAGTTTAAAACTGTGTTGATGCAACACAAAGTCATTTATGAAACATCAAACAAAGAGTATGGTGTCTTTTATTACTAGTGTGGTGATTGTTACAGTCATGGTTGTATTTCAAATGTATCCATTCCTTGTCTTAGATAATATGTATTCTATTAATATAATTTATTAAAGGTTTCTCTAAAAAAGAATGTCAGCTCCATGCAGACAATGTAAAATGTGGACAGTGAGGCACCTCTCTTCTAATGCGCGTACTGCATATGAACATACCGTATGCATGTTACCTATAAACATCAGAGCAATGCATGCATATGGAACAATTCCTTGCTGTGGACTCACTTTAGAATGATTGACCGGCAGTGACCTGCACATACCAGAAGGTCCTGGACGGACAAACCAGACAGCTGGAGTGAAGGGACTCTCTCAGCCAGAGTGGCTTCCCTCGCCTGCTTCTTTTCCTCCTTCTCCTTCTCCAACATCCCAGCTGCCATTTTCAGCAGCTTGGTCTAAATTGGGTAAAATAAATCAGGTTGAATAACTATGTGGCACGGATCAGACTTATATAGATGTTATCATAAAGACATAATACCTTGGGAGCCAGTCTGCGAGATGCAGAGATCTTTGATTTTTTCTGCTCCAAAAGAAAATATTTATGTAGCAATTAGCAGTCATGTACACAATGTAATGTATGTAAGTGTATATTTGTTTTTTCATAAGATGAAATAATGATATAGATAACTTACCTGTCTGTGGTAGACATTATGATGTTGGAAGGAAAAGAAACGAGAGATAGCATCATAACATTGTAAAAGATTACTTGAATTTTACAAATACAAATGTACAGTACATAGTAAAGAAAGCATAACTTACCCCTCAGACATGATTGCTGTTTGTCTGAAAGAATGAAATAATTCAAAGTCAGAAACATTAAATGCAAGGACAGTATCGGTTGCAGTAGTATTACTACATACATGCTGTTAAGCAGTAACACTGTAATAATGATTATGTTGTGATTCATGCACCAGAATCTGATACTTAATAGAAAACATGCTGTTTATTCACATCTGGTTGACTGGGCCGACTCGACCAGACCTCGGTTTGTCAACATACCAACATTAAGCCCTTCAATTAGTAACGCTGCATGTGTAAATGCTGCACATTTTTTTTAAGTGTAGTCATCAAATCCCAGAGTTGATCGATTGTTCAAGGCAGCAAGAATCAACATTAGCTTTTGCAAAATAATACAAAAAAAGTACTAAAATAGGTGGATTAATTTCCCATATGCATGTTTAAGTAAGTAAGTAATATTATAGTGTTGTGTTGGTCTCTTAAAGATCAAACAGTATCAAATCTTTTACAGTAAACCTGCATGTATTTTCATCGATTGGCTTAATACAGTTCCTGCTGTTCTTTAAATCATTGAAAAATAAATGCAACAGTCTTACTTATTCTTAAATCACATTTTTGTCATTATAAAAATGAACATACCTTTGTATCTGCAGAAAACCTGTTGAGGTGAAAAGTGGCTGTCTTTAAGTGACAAGACTTTTCCTCAAGAGAAAAACTTGCGCCAAATGTAATGGTTGAGTTGTCAACTAAAATAGCCTCCTCTGATCTGANCCCCCCCCCCCACACACACACACACACACACACACACACACAAACACACACCAGGTTAACCACCAATTGTGTATACTCCCATTACTCAACACCAAGAGTAGAGGCTTTAAGGACAGCCAGTAAAAAACATCCATGAACACATCATCATCAAAACTGGAAAATCTAACAAACCAAAGAAAAACCAAGCATTAAAGTCTTTATGGTCTTTTAATAAGCATCACATGTTTTACAGACCAGTGGCAGCGCCTTCATCTGTATAATACAAATACTTCACTTCAAATGACAAACTCACAAATTCGCTATTCTATACAATGTTTATGATTACACCATAAAGTGGTATTTTGTACATACATGTTTACATTAAATCAAGAAAAAACAATTTATTTCAACGTCATTATACACTCTTTCTTTAAGTCTGCATCTCTGCAGACTTTCCTAACGGAGGTGCCCATAGACTTGGCTTTTTCCTCTAATGGCGATGAGTTGTTGCAAGCATGTCACGGTGGTGTGTCTTGTTCATCCTTTTTATACCATTATGAGTCCTCATGAACTCACACACTCAAGCATTACAGCTGCACACAGGTGATGCCAATTAAACCAGTGAGGGTTTAGTGCTTAGGCCTTAGGGTGTATGTTGGGATTCGGCCGATGTATTACTAACAGCACTTTCTATTGTCCTGCGTTAAACATCTTCTTCCTGCCGTCCATACCAGACATGGCCTCCACGTTCTTACGCCAATCAGTCACTTCTTCCTTCTGCAAAGATACAAAAAAAAGTCATTTAAATGTACTTTTAAATATAGTTTATTTTTCTTGATGGATGATTGTTTCCAACCAAACGTTACCTTTTCTTCCTCCTTCTTCACTGTCTTGAGTTTGGCCTTGAAATCAGGCTTCATGAGTTTGGAGGAGTCGCTGCATGCACCCAGCATGTCGTCCGTGGTTTTCTTCACCCTCTTCAAGTTAGGCCTCTTCGTCCCCTTCAGCCCAAAGATCTTCTCCTTCAGTGACTGGACCTGTGCATCAAACACACCATTCAACATCCTTATAGGTCAGTAAATATACAAATGAATTTGTGATGTACCTTAAAAACTTCCACTGTACCTCTGTTTCATTTTTTACTACTTTAACTTCTGTATCATAACGAACTTCATCTACAACATCAATCTTACGATGAAGTTCTTTGCAAAGATCCTGCAAAGAGAAAAAGATTGATTGAGTTATAATTGTTGCACTTTCTGTTTCCTTGTCTTAAGGTCAATCGCTTTTGTTTGCTAACAAGTGGCTCAAAGAGAAAGAGGTTGTAGAGGACATGAAAGTCATTACGCTGAACAAGAGGAAACTCATCTACTCAGCCGTGGTGATGTTGAAGTCATGCCAACGTGTAGTTAGTTTATCTATTTACATGTGGCGATTGTATTTAGGCCTCAAAATCTTTTTTAATCGGTCCATTTGTGACGAACACGGCTTAGTATAAGAACATTTTGTTTGCCAAAGATCAACATTTCTGCAACATGAAATTTGCTTTTTGTCAAGGCAACCGTTCCTTTTTAGGTTGGCTTACAACAGGGCTGTCCAAACTTCTTTTACCGTAGGCCACATACAGAAAAATATACGAAGGGCTGGGCCACTCACTGGAGGTATACTGCCTTATAATTTCAGTTAGCAAAATCAATCAAATGTAGGTAAATTATGCTTGTGAGTGTTGACAGCTCATCCCTTAAAACACAAGCCTCAGATTGCTCATAAGAAGGAGAAATAGGAAGGGTGTATTTAAAGCTTTTTATGTAAATAAGTAATTGGGCTTTTTTGTTATCAACTAAGATATGTTAGAAAATGTTTCCAACTTTTATTGACAGAATTTATTTGAAAAGTGTTCTTATTAACACATGAATACTACTGCGTAATGTATTTTTACATTGATATTTAATAGGTACAACATAAGACAAGCACAAGTTTCATTTGTGGGCCATATTCCATTACACTTTTTGAATTTGCTGAGGGCCGATTCAAAATGGTCCGCGGGCCACATTTGGCCCCCGGGCCGTAGTTTGGACACCCCTGGCTTACAAAAACATGTCAACCTTGCAGTACTCTGAAATGCCTGAATCAGCATGGTTTTCTGCATCAGTACCTGGAGCTCCTGGACTGACAGACCTGGCAGGTTCAGGGCAGGGAAACACTCTTTCACAACTCGCTCCTTCTCTTGTTTCTTCTGTTCAATTTCAGCCACCAGCATAGAAGCTGCTTTCTTCAGCAGTTTAGACTGTAATACAGGGAGGCGTTAATATGTCTGCATAAAAACATTAAAGCAGTCTAGGAGCATATGGCATTTTTAGTGTATGGTATGTTAGTGGTTTAAAAGGTCTGCAGGACCTACCTTCAAAAGCAGTCTGCGTGTTGCTGAATACTTTGTCTTTTTCTGTGAAGAAGAAAATAATGTCATATAAAGCAATTAATACAGTTTCAAATGTTACATTTTAAAGCACAAAATGCATGATTAATTAATGCATGTTTAGGAAAAAAAATGTGGACTCACCGGTCTTCATCAAGATGTGACAAGACAAGTAAACAAAAGAAATAGAGAGATGTTTTTATTTATTATATAAATAGTGTAGAGAATTGTGGCTCTCTTTTAGAGGTCAATACTTACCCTTCAGACATATCTGCAGTTTACGGTATCCTTTGGAGCAAAAACAAAGTTTGTTTACTCTTTTGAAATGCATTGCATGCATTTTCAACACTTCTTTAGATAGTTTTACAAACTAGACTTAGAGTATTTGTTAAAGTCTTACTCATGTTTTCTACAGTGAATCTGATAAATCCAACTACTGTAGTTCACAGTTCAATAGAATGAAGTGGTCTCATTGACCTCAGCTGCTCTCAGAATCCTTTTGATTTGTTTCCAAGATCAGATAATCCTTCCCATTGTTATAAGAGCTGACAAGGAGCCAGTTGCTATATTTAGCCACATTGCCACCATACTTTTCTGTCCCCCAGCAGCTGCCTTGTGCTTTATGGTGCCAGAGAAAAGGTTTGGCAGGCAAGAGACCAACTTTAATTAAATCTCTCGAAGACTGTGAGAGTTATGAAAAACAATTCTCAATCCACAACACTACTTCATTTTTATTCTGCTGCATGTTAAATGCACATGTCTTTTGTTCAAGCAGACATTTTCAGATTAGGGCTGAAGTGGAAATGAGCTGTCAACAAACCCTATCTCCTCTGTCTCTCTCACTTTCTCTGACCTTCTCATTCTAGCGTTAGCTTTTCAACCACATACCTAAAATGCAATGTAACCATGCCATTATATATTAGCAAAAGTAGGCGTTAGAGACTGATGAAAGCCTGTCAATGCCTCTGATACAACACAGTAATATTACCAATTTAAATTAATCCAGCCTGACAGGGGGCTAAATTCAAGGTAAAGTATCCCAGCCTGCAGCCTTGCCCCTCAACCCAGGAGGTTGCCAGTTCATATGAGCGAGCCTTCATCACTTATCAGAGCAGCTTTTAGGACAAACGACGGGTCAGGCCTGCTGTTACCAGCTGACAATACCTTTTCAGGCAGTTCAAGCCTCGGGTTACATTTCTACACTTACAGGATCAAGATATCGTTAAGACGTATTTAAGACCTTGACAAAAGTGGCAACATAGCAGAGATTCACTCACATAAATACCAGTCACAGTAAATGTGTCAGTGCATGCTGTAATGCAGTCTTTGTCATTAAAGCCTTTGATAGCTTCTCTCACGTCAAGAAGTGAAATAGCAATGCTATGTTAAGCAGTCTCCTTAAATGTCTAATCTGATTGACTTTGAGTTTCTTGTGAGATATACCAGGTTGATTATATATGAAACCTACCTTGAAAAGTGAGAGAAAATCAGAGCAGGCAGCAGCAGTTGTAAGTCTGGAAAAGAAAAAGCACTTGACGATTATTAGTGAAAGATTTATGTATTCAAAGTCTCACGTGAATGGCTCGCTAAAATAGACCCCCCGTCCACCTGACAATTTCTGCATCACAGTGCAACCCCTTTTTGATTTGCCCTCTGCCCATGACCCATTCATCTCATGTGATTGGATTGCACAAGGGCCCACCTAACACGCTCCTCACCTCACTGACAGCTGACTTATCGACTCTGTGGATATCTGGCGCCCTGACCTTGTTTGCTTTCTCACTATGTGTCATGGGGTGGACAGGCCAAGGTTTTAAAGGTGCCTTCTAAAGTTAGTTTCAAAAATGAAAGTTTTGGAGCAATTAAAAATTCATTTGTTTTTATTATTGACCTGACAAACAAAAACAAAAACAGTCTGTAATGTAGTTGTAAGCAAATACAAAGTAAGAATGACATGTTATACATTTGTCAACCATTTCAACTCTAAAAACTATACAGCACCCGTTACTGTTGTATAAACTCTTCCAGAAAGCTTACAACCTATTAACAAGTTCTTACAGTTTGCATTTATTACGTTTCATATAAAGTTCTTTATAAACATAAAGACAATTTGTTGTATTTTTTTATGCATGTTGGATATATTGTTGTTGTTTACTAATATTTTTTTCAATTTAAAAAATACTTTCTTAATTCCTTAAACTGCATATTGAGGACAATTAGTTTGCAAACAAAAATTGACATTAATAAATCTAAATTCTCAAATAAATTTTTTGAAATATACGAAAATTAAAGACAGTGGCCAACAATATTCAAGATGACAAATGTCAGAAAGTACCCAAGTCTAAATATCCAATTCACAAGACACACTTAAAGGTGGGGTATGTAAGTTTGAGAAACCGGCTCGAGATACACTTTTTGTTATATTCCATGGAATGCTCTTAACATCCCGATAGCGATGAATATCTTAAGTGCTTTGACAATAAATCCATTAAAAAATGTCATCTGTGGAAGCGGTAGTGCTGTGAAAAGCACGACCAATTATTTTAGCCGGCCCGGCTAAAATAACTGGATGGCCTACCTGCCTGTCAGCCTTCCATCTGTGCACAAATTTATCTCGTGCCCTCATTGGTCATGTGCGCGTTCTTGTGTGTTGGAGGAGGGGCTCTGTAAGGAACTGGCAGATTTTCTCCTGTTATGTATTTTCAAATTCTAGCGCATTCGAGCTGGTTTCTCCAAAATTACCTACCCCACCTTTAACATATCTCTTACTTTTGCTTCTTAATTCTGATGGCCTCAGAAAATAAAAATTACCTTTATTTTTATTTATTAAAGGTGTAATTTTGGAGAAACCAGCTCGAGTGCGCTAGAATTTGAAAGTACGCAGCCGAAAATGTTTTGCCTCTTCCTTCAGACTTCCTTACAGAGCCCCTCCTCCAACACACACGAACGCGCACTTGACCAATGAGGGCACGAGATAAGTTTGTGCACGAGATGGAAGGCTGACGGTAGGCCATCCAGCCATCCAGTCATTTTAGCCGGGCCGGCTAAAATGATAGGTCGTGCTTTTTACAGCACTACGTCTTCCACAGATGACATTTCTTTATGTATTTATTGTCAAAGCATTTAATATATTCTTTGCTATCGGGATGTTAAGAGCATTCCATGGAATATAACAAAAAGTATTTCTGAAATAAATTACATTCCCCATCTTTAACTAGGTAGAAAGTTAACCTAAAATAACTTCAACATGTGTTTTAGATTGCATTAAAGCTTCATAGGAAGAATTTTAACTGTCAACAAAAACACAAGCACATACAAAACAAATTCTTATATCTGACAACAACAACACTATAGGCTATAATGTTATAAACTACTCATTACGTTTTTATCTGCTGCTTACAATTGATACATTCTGAACACAGTACATCGCAACAGACGGCAGCTGCAGTGAATAAAAGTAACGTGTTATATTTAGATCGAGGTGCCACCGTGGCAACTGATTCACAATTGCCCTGATACTGCTCTCAGAGCAAAAACAATCTGCAGTCTATTCTTGTCAGATTTAGGCATGTCTGTATGTTATGTAAAATGATCCTCTTGGGCTAAATGATGTGTATGAGACAAAGTAACACTGCAAGAGGAATTAACACATAACCACGGACACATTTTGTCCTATACAATATAATCCCTTGTAACTAAGCAGTGAATAGCTGCACGTTCTCTGGTATTCATCCTGGCCCTCAGGTGTTGATCCTTTAGAGTGATATGTTCTGGTATATTTGTATTAGGGTTATGGTCCCTGGTGGTTATGCGGGGTCAGGCTGGGTGTTAAGACGTGTTTAAAGGGACAGTTCACCTCAAAACATAAATATACCTCCTTTCGTCTTAGCTAAAGTGTGGTTACTCAATATAGATTGTTTCGTTACTTGTTGATTGTTGGAGATGTTGACATGTCTGCCTTCTTTTGAATGTAACCACATGGCACTTGGCTGATGATATTTCACAGACCCTGTTTCTGAGCAATCTCATGTATGATCTTTTTACATTTCTACCAAAAAAGCAGCAAGCCACCCACAAACAAGAGAGCACTAGTCCTCTTCTCTGAGTAAATGAATGCTTTCTCCCGCACCCTGATAGTAAAAAAGAGTTCCCACATGAAGCAGCTCACAACAAGTTCTGTAGATTATTTCAAGAAACAAGGCCATGATTTCTGAAAAGACAGATTGCTAATAAGACCTTCAAATTCAATTTATGTTTGCGCTTTGAGCATTACAGGCCAAGTTTCATCTAGTTGTGCTATATTTGTGAGAAGGCAGAACTCTATACAGTCGATATTTCCATTAAAGGGACACTCGCGCTAAAACTGTCTAGATCAAAATAAGCACTACAGGTAAGAGGAAAAGTATATATGTGTTATATTGTTGGGAACTGTCCCTTTAAGAGGCGGCCTCTAGCCAAGAGGTTTAAGACTCTGATTGCATAATCACAACATCCCAGGTTGAAATGCGGCCTGGTCACAGTCTCTCTCTCTCTCTCTCCCCTCATTTTCTATTGAATTTCTGCTATTAAAGTCAAGCTTAACATTTCCCCCCAAAAGTATGCAATTCAATGTTTTTAATAGGCTCAACACTCTCCAAATATAATGTTTCAAATGATTGGACATAACTTAACTTATTTTTATAAATATGTTTTAGATACCAAAATGCAATTTAAACGGTTAAAACCAGAACTTTAGATATTATACATTTGGTAACTGCTGACCTCTAATGACTGTTGACATAATTTGGTTTGCAGTTGGCCTAAATCTACAGTGTTCATACACAGAGAAGGAAGAAAAAAACATCTATTTCTGACATAATTCTGTAGAAGTTTAGGTAAACATTTTCAGCCCATGTTCTTCATGAGAATAGAAACTACAAACCACAGCGTCTTTCCTGTTCCTGTAATAAGATGGCAGCGCCTGATAAACCTGAAACTTGAACACTTGTTCAGATTGGACCACATCGAATCTTCTCTGTCTTCGTTCAAGGAAACTATTGAAACATCTTCAAGATGAAGTGTATTATTGTTCTTATTTACTCCATTGTTTTAAAACCTTTCATTCATGTGTTGTGGAGCTTCACCAGAGTGATCCACGTTCCTTTTTTCTGCTTTTGTTTGACTGCTGGACTCACGGTGTCCTCTTCCATCAGGATCCTGGACAAGCGTCAAGACTGCAATCAACTGGTGAGGATTCAATATATTAAACTATAAGTACAATCAATATCATAAAAGTCCACTTGTTGTTTTTAATTCATCAATTATCTTGTGTTTTTTTCCCAGGGTCTTAAGAACTGCCAAATTAGTAAGTATCCTATTCAGCAAATTAGTCGCAAAAAGTTCAAATGCTTGTGTACTGTATAGACATCAAGAATATGTTGAGTGGCATTATTTTGTGAAACAGTCTATATCATATATATTATATATAAATATATCTATACATTTGGTGTTATTATAAGCTTGGATGAATGATTTGTGCAGAAAAATATTATTTTAATTAGACACTTATGCATTTATGTGATTCACAAACAGTAAGTTTAACATATATTCACAGCATTATAATTGACACACTGTTCCTTATATCTCAGAAAACTGCCCAGACGAGCGCATTGTCAAACCTCGACAACATGCTCCTAACGGCCCAGAAGTGGGTCCCCATCATTTGGGTGTCTGGATGGACGAACACGGACCTGTTTCTGTTGTAAATTTGTCATGGACAATAAAGTCAGATGGTAAGTAATGCTAAAATCTGTACTTCATTTTAAAAATACACTTTGTTTATTGTAGCTCACATGTAAAAATGCATCAAATACAAGTTGTGAACCAACCGGTATTTCTTTTTAGGTGAAAATAATAATACAAATTAAATGTATAGTAAAATATACACTTTCTTCTATTCACAGGAAATGTAAAAGTCCTTCGGGGATCACAGATAGATTTTCTGGATGAAAGTACAGATCAAAGTTTGTGTGTGCAGTTTGTTTTCAACCTCAGCAAACAGCAAAATCCAGACCTTAGTAAGGTGAGATTTGAACATACTTGCTTAATTATCTATGAGTATCAAAAGTAGTATGGATGTTACAGATATGTTTTTCTTTATTAGTGGACATTTTCCTTGGATGGAGTCGTGGTAGAGCCTCACCATTCATATAGAGTGTCAATTCTTAATCTGCCAGAGCCTGATGATGAACCCGAGAGGCTTAGAATGAACATTACCATCCCAGGTGAGTGACCTCCAGATCCCTGAAATCTGCATGAGAAAAACTGAAAAAACATTTATTACGAATTAGAAGTTTGTTTGTACAGCAGACTAAAATGTATTCTGTGTTTTGTGTAACTACATTGTGTGATCATAATAGAAAATATGGTGTGTATTATGACCCAGTTTAGAAAAAAAAAAGCAATGTAAAAATATCCGCTCTTGAGTCAGACAGTAGTGACAACTTAATCCCTCCCAAAGAAATATCCCTTTAATACATATAGTGACAATGGCTCTTGAATCAAATCGGTGTCTAATCTTCTTCATGTAACTTGTTCCCTCATGGCCAGGATGTGATGACACGAGAATCCAAGAGGCCCAAATGTGTCTGGAAAATGGTAACTGTAAATCTACATCTAGCAGATTTTAAATCGACCGCTGTTAACGATCCTGGACCATTTTAACATTATCCTCTGCATGTTTCGTTATTTTTAGGTAGTCTTTGGGATCCTCACATTAATCATTCGGTGGATCTCAATAAAGGGCTTGGAAAGTTTTCCATCGATGTGCTTTTTGAAGCAGCACAACATTCAGAGAGATACCAAGTGTCCATCCACAGTAAAGGTTTCAATTCATCAAAGAGTGTCTCAAAGGTGATTACACTGAATTTCTATCTTATATTACCAATGATGACAAAAATGACTATATTATGAGACTACGATCCTGATGTACTCCTTGTTTTGGAAACATTATATCATTATGGTTTTCTCTATCTACAGGAAAACAAAACATCCCTGACTGTGACATTTGAGTTTGGGTGGGGGCAGCTTCCACAGTGTAAAATGGAGTTATTGGTAAGTTTCATTTAAATGTAAGGTCCCATCCATACCAGTTGATAAAGTAATCGTATATGAACTCATACAACATTATAAACTGAACTGACTCTGCTTATTTTTAAGATTCAGCCGTTTTTTGTTCGATGCAAGAATGACTGTTGGCGTCCCAAGAAAGATATAGATTTATGCAAGTGTAAGTACGATAAGTAAACTATATTTACCACTCAGTGGTTCCTAACCGTATTGGCTTGAGATCTCTAACACTAAAGCAGCGATTACTTGCTTCCCCTTGTTGAAGGTTTATCAGCTTTTAGACCTTTACATTTATCAGATTGTCAAAGAATAGATAAAATACAAAACAACTATATGTATTCTTTCCTATCCTTTTAATCATCTTGAAAGCCACTCAGATGTATCTTTAGACACAGGGAGTTTGATTTATCTAATCACATTTGTTTGCTTTTCTTTAGATTATCCACCCAGGACTTTAATTATAAAGGCATGCTTGGCACTGCTTGTCTGCGGTGGTTTTCTTGCCTTTTTACTGTGGAGAGCTTTCCAGAAAGGTTTGCTTCTTACAAATGCACAGTAATGAATAGAAAACACATCTTGAATTGATAATCAACCAACAGATTTCCCTCTTTTCTCAGATCCTGTGAACTCATCTTTATCTGCTGCCAAACAACAACCAGAAGGTTTTCAAGTTCGAGAGAGAAGAAGAGTCCTCGTCATTTACTCCCTCGACCACCCTTTATACAAAAACATTGTCCTCAAGCTTACTGCATTTCTGTCAACCAAATGTGGTACTGAAGTGTTCCTGGATCTGCTGGACTCCACAAGGCTGGGAGTGTTGGGAAGCATTCAGTGGCTGGACTGGCACAGGGAACAAATTGAAAGCTCTAAAGATAAGATACTAATCCTGTGCTCAAGAGGAGTTAAAGCCAAATGGAAAGCCATGTGTGGAGACAAACGGGTATTTCTGAGAGAGGACGCCCGATCACCTATGGGTGACATGCTCAGTCCAGCCCTCAGCCTCATGGTACCCCATTTTATCAGATCTGCGTCATTTGAAAAATACATAGTGGCTTACTTTGATGATGTTTGTTCTGAAGATGATGTTCCTTCACCGTTCAACATTACATTGAGATACAAGCTGATGAAACAGTTTGAGGAGCTCTTTTTCAGGATCCTGGACACTGAGAAGCACGAGCCCGGCATAGTGAATCACATTGATGGGCTTTCAGAGGAAAAGTACCACCAGTGTGCCTCCGGTAGAGCCCTGAGGGACGCCATAGAGGCTTTTCATGCATACCAGCTGGAGCATCCCCAGTGGTTTGAAGAGGAACTACTGGAGAGCTCAAAGACCTCTTCTGAAATCTGTGATGATGAAAAATCAACCATAAACCTCATTACATATCGTGAACCTGACTCAGCTCAAGTCACCAGTCATTTAAATACATAAGAAACTGATTTCACTGTCAACACAACAGGACTTTACGTGGCTGAAGAGCTTCAAGTGTGCACTTCTGTGGAGTTTAACCAACTTATATCTGAGAACATGCAGCATGTTTGATGAAATTGTGGTAATGTTTTGGGACGACAATGATGATCTTCTCCACTGTTGGTGGAAACTTTGAAACATTCATCATGGGCCATACAAACACATTTTTTGTCTCTGGAAATGGCCTTTGTGGAGGCCTGCCATTTCTGAGTGACTTTCTAGTTTTACCAAGTTTATGCTTCCCTTCATATCAGTGCTGCAGTTATTTTTTTGTATGCTGCATTAATGTTAATATATCTTGCTTTCACTCAGGAGACAGATCCAGAGTAGCTATAGCACAGAGATCTGCGGTAGATTCTTTTGGTCTGTGTCAACAGCGTTTGGGTCAAAGTTCAGCCTACTGGGCAAAGTTTCTATCGTTTCTGTTACACTGAAGAAGGTAAGACTAGTCTTGATTTGTGACACTGTTTTGTATTATAATTAACTGATTTAATCTAATGTGCTATGGGCTTTTTAATACTGTAAAGCATGGACATGTTTATTGTATTATCACAGGTAAAAGGTGTCCCTGCGGCATAAAGTATGTGACCAGAAATATGTAAATGTTGATACTCCTTTGTAAGATGTAGATCTGATCTGTTCATTATAATTCCAAGTGTTTGTTGGTGTGTTTCTGATCCTCTCTGTGTTGTTGATGAGATATTAAAGACTGTTACATTTGAAATCTGGCACAAATCAGATGTAAAGTATTTACTCAATGTAGTACATTTCAGCCAACTCACATGGTGCATACATGCAGTGGTAGAAAGAGATAGCAAACAGACCCTAACTCTAGAAGTTTGTTTTCTGAGAGTGGCCCCAAAAAAGGGGGAAAGGTTGTGGGAATTTATCCCAGCTAACTGGAGCAAAGAAATCCTCACAATGGCTGAGTTGGACTTCTGCCTTGCAGTGACAGAGAACACGCTGCAGGGTGTGATGCAACTGGATTACGTGTTTCATTCAAGAAGCTGAGGTAATGATGTACATAGGTTTTTTTTTATACAAGCACATTGTTTGATACTTGCAGTTCTTTGTTTGAATTGGTTTATACGCTATATTAGATAGACATGCTGTTTATTATGAATTGTTTTAATCAAAGAAAGAAGTCTAAATAAGTCAAACTTATGGAAGATATATATAATGAAATCGTTTTTTAATGCGTTAATGTTTGCGATTCATTCTGAAGCTCTGATTGACGTTATCTTTCCAATAATGTCCGATGCTAATTTTTTTAATGTATGTTGGAAAGAAGACATTTGGATTACAGCAAAAGTAAGAACATTTTCCAATCTGTTGAATTCTGACTCTCAAACTGAAATGACCTCCGAGTGCCCAAAGAGAGGAGGCGCTAAGATGAGGCTTGGCCTTTGGAACATCAGTCTGAAACGTTCAGCTGACAATTTTTTCGAAACACGTCCTGTTTTCAAGGTTTCTCTCAAAATCTGAACAGAATGAGGATGCTGAAGAGAGCTTCTGCACTCCTCCTGAGAAGAGGAATCACAACTTATCAAAGCAGATTGTGCAGAAATGGTAAATGCATCCTTTAATCATATCTATATTAAAAACTGTATAACGTATAAAAGAGGGATGATAATAATGATGATTTAATTGCACATCTTCTCTTAGAAAGCCTCTTCAGAGTTCATTCATCTGTGTCTGAGGCGCTGGCAGAAAACCAACCAGTGGTTGCTCTGGAGAGTACTATTATCACACATGGCATGCCCTATCCACACAACCTGAGGTACCCCGTTTAAAGAGTCAGTCAACTCTGACAGCAGCAGCTAAAAGTTACATAAATCATTGAAAATTAGTGCTACCAATGTTTTAATGCAGCACAGCGAAGGAGGTGGAGGACATTGTGCGATCTGAAGGAGCCACTCCAGCCACGGTTGGAGTGATCGATGGTGTCGTCCATGTTGGTTTGTCGTCAGAGGAGCTCGACCACCTGGCCCGCTGCAAGAGCTCCATGAAGGTGTCCCGCCGTGATCTGCCCTACGTCGTCAGCAAAGTGAGACCACAACACAATCACTTATTTAAAAAAAGAATCACTTTCTAAAACCTGAAGGCCGACCTGGTCGCATCAACTTATTCTAGTTCAATCTATTTACTTGTACTCTAATATAAAATAAACACATCATATGGAAAGTAATGCAACTGCAGGAGAGGAAAAATAATACTAAAATACTTATTCAGAGTTCTCGCCTATCTATACAAATAATACATAACATTATTATTAGCATTATACGAAAAAAAGCAAACAGAAAACAGTAGGAAAAGACAGAAAACAAACAACAAAACAGACCTAAAATAAGTATATATGGACAACCAACAAAACTATCTTGCAAAAAATGTCATGAAGAAATTAGAAATATCTTAAATTGAGTCCTATGAGCTGACAAGGAAGTTAACAATTTCAGTGTCATATTCTGTGAGCTTTGAATATCTTTTCACTATTGCTGTCCTGTGTGATATTTTCTCAGGGGCTCTCTGGGGGAACAACCGTGTCGGCCACGATGATAGCTGCACATCGAGCTGGCATCCCTGTGTTTGTCACAGGGGGCATAGGAGGAGTTCACAGAGACGGAGAGAACAGTAAGCAGGTTTATAAGTACTAAAATAAAAACAGACTCACTGACTGGATTTTTTGGCATCTTTTCACATGGAGATTCAACAATGTGTCATAAGGTGCTATTTTATGTTAAACTGGATTTATTGATAACGATGAACAATTATGAGTTAACATTATTCTTTGGAGGTCAAATAAATGCCTGGTGATGGGATAGTTCACCCTGATTTAGGTCTCCATGAGCACCGCAATAGACACCAAAACGTTCAGAACAGTACTGTAAGTTCTGTTTGTACATAATAAGATATTATAATTTTACTTTTTATGTGAAGACTTACCATTGGTCATGATTATTCCTCCAGGTCTGGACATCAGTGCAGATCTGACAGAGCTCGGCAGGACTCCCATTGCAGTCGTCTCTGCTGGTGTAAAATCTATTCTGGACATCGGTCGCACCCTGGAGTACCTTGTGAGATATGAGATAAAAAAATATATAAAATCAATGAAATATAAGAAAGATATTGGGCTGTATTATATTCCTGTTATTGCATATATTTTTAGGAGACACAGGGTGTCTGTGTAGCCACCTATGGAGCGTCTAAGAACTTCCCAGCCTTCTTCTCTCCACAAAGCGGATTCACTTCTCCTTTCCATGTCTTCAACCCTGAGGAGGCTGCCAAACTTATTGGTATAGGCTACTATCAATTCATATCCTTAAAACACAGATTCAATGTCTACTATTTATTTTAAACTATTATGAATTTGTCTCTTTTGTGTCGTTCAGCGAGCACTCTGTCCCTGGGTCTCCAAAGTGGCGTCCTGTTAGCCGTGCCCATCCCAGAAGAGCATGCAGCCGCCGGCCAGCTGATAGAGGAGGCCGTTCAGGCTGCAGTCACAGAGGCAAGGTACAGAGAGTCGCTGCTGTGGCTTATAATCTGTTGAACTTTTGTTTAATCAACATTTCAAAACGAGTTCAGAAACGTAAAGATCTGTCTGGATCTCTGGACTTTCTGTATTTGTTTTGTTTTTCAGTGTTAAAGGTATAACAGGAAGAGATGTGACGCCGTTCATTCTTCAAAAGGTCAACGAGCTGACTGAAGGAAAGTCCCTTCATGCCAGTATCCTTCTGAAAATCTGAATTATTCAGATTCAGAGCTCAAGCTCAAATATCAAATCATTTTGAAAGGAAAAGGCACAGTGAAGTCTGATAACGTTTTTTCTCAAAGGCCACACAATGTTTCCAAGCTGTATAAACACGTACAAAATCCGTAACTTCTTTTGCTCTCAGACATTGCTCTCATTCATAACAATGCTAAAGTTGGCAGTCAGATAGCCCGCGCACTGTCACGACAAATGACTGAGAGAAAGTGCAGAGGAAACACCAATCGTCATGGAAAACACTCAGACTCAGATATAGTGAGTATAACAAATGTACAATGGAGGATTTTGTCAAATACTGTCACACTACAGTACCCACAATGCTGTTCTCTTACAGGTTGTCATTGGAGGAATAAACGTTGATTTTATTGCAAAAGGAAAAGCAGAAACACTTATTGTAAGTTACATTAATTCAATCTACTGCAGATCACGTAAAGCCAGATTAATGTAGTTTACTTCTGAGAAATAATGTGTTATCTCTTTCAGTTTGGACAGACGAACCCAGGAAGTGTGTGTCAATCATTTGGTGGTGTAGGACGGAACATCGCTGGTGTGTTTTTATCTGATTATGTACATGCACATGTTTTCATACGGACTGTGAAACAAATTGTCCCACTCATTTTCCTTCCAGACTCTCTGAGTCGATTAGGCCGCAGCCCTCTGTTCATCTCAGCTACTGGAGCTGATTCACACAGCGAGGCAGTGCTACACTATTGTAAACATATGGTATGTAAACATCAACAGTTGTTTATCACCAAGCATGATTCAAATAGAAAAAATTATATTAAAGACTGAAACTTGAAATACTGATTTTGAAAAGCCAGTTAAAGGATTTGGTTAGAGGTTCATCATTTTAGGAGTGAATTTTGTTTACATTATCTGCCTTTTTCATTTCCTTGTAATACATACACCAAGGGTATTTCAAAAAGCACTCAGACTGTACTCAGGTCTCACTTGAAATTAAATGTTAAAGCGACTTGCTGATTTAATACAATATATAATTTGTTTTGCTTATATATAATAATAATAATAATAATAATAATAATAATAATAATACATTACATTTATAAAGCGCTTTTCCTGGTGCTCAAAGGGCTTGTTAATGTTAACCTGACTTTTGGTCCTTATTTCTGTAAGAACACAAGTGGTGTGGCCAGGTTAGAAGAGCAGAGCACGGCTACGTACTGTGCTGTCATCACTGCTAGTGGAGAACTGAGTCTAGGATTGGGAGACATGGACATTCATCAGCAGATCACAGCGCAGTATGTAAGTATAACAAGCCTCTATTTTAGCAAGGCTACAGACAAGGATTTGTGATCAAATTCCATACAAATGCAGGTAATTCGCTCCAATTCGCTCCAACACTGTCCAACATGGAGTCATTTTCCAGTTTCCAGTTCTGAATGTGTATATTTATTGTTTTATTTTACACTTCCAAAGATTTTTGAACTGATTATTTTTAGGGTTGTACAACAAAATAAGATTACAAAAATTACAAATTGCAACCCAAGTTTGTTTTATATATATATCTATATTATTTTTTCGACGCACCTCTTGTTCTGAAATGTGCTATGGAAATGAAGTTTAATGACTTAATATCTGTTGGTAGGTGTCACAGTTTGAGAAGCAGCTTTCATCAGCCACCCTCGTGTGTCTGGATGGAAACATCCCTGTCTCCACCATAGACTATGTTTGTTCCATTGCCAAAAAACACAACATCAATGGTAAGCATGGAGAGATGTTCACTATGAATGATCATGGTCAGAAGCTTTCATTGACTCTAATACAACACAATCAATGTGTGTCACAGTTTGGTATGAGCCGACAGATTCAGATAAAGCCTGTAAGCCTTTCCTGTCCGACGCCTGGAAGTCCCTTTCCTATTCATCCCCAAACCTGGCCGAGCTGCGCACCATGAACAAAACTCTGGGCCTGCCCACACCTGAAGGTAAAGTGTATTTATTGAATCCGTCATGGTTTAACCCCTAATTTACTTCTTTATCCTGGCAAACACATAACCCAACATACAATGACCAGACTCAGGGACAGTTTTATCCAACAGGCCATAAGAATGCTAAACTCCTGAGCTTACACTATTTTTATTATTTTTTGATGTGTTTTTAAAGCCCTTTGAATCTTTCAACAGTGTGTGAAGTTAGTGTTCTTGGGAAGTAGTGTCATTGAGGATGTGGTTTTGTTTTGTCTTGTGGGTTGAAGTGCTGCCTAGCTCTGTTGAGGAGGTGCTGAGTGTTGCTGTGGCTCTCTCACGCCCTCTCCTGGAGCATCTCCACTGTCTGGTGGTGACTCTGGGGGAGAGTGGGGTTCTGGTGTGTGGAGAGCATGAAGCCGGCTCTGTCAACCTGCAGCCAAGGAAACAGAAGAAGGTGAGGGCAACTTATATTCAACCCTTAACTTTGGCTTTTTTTGTTAATGTACATACATTTTGGAAAGGGTGTAAGCTGGTTTTTTCCCTGAATTTTAGAAGATCAACTCCAGTGAAAAACTCAAAAATTAAGCTGTGTAACCAAAACACAGTCACTGAGGCCCTTTGAGGACAAAGCCCCCAGAGAACCCCATTATAACCACAATTTGTGATTCTACTACCATTACAGTATATAATCATGCGTTTTATAACATTGGGCTATCGATCGGTCCATGGCTTCAAAATGGTAGTTTAGAACAAAATGTGTGTTATTTTCCTCAAAATAATAGTTAAAATGCAGCCAAATCAATGCTGTTGCTAATCAAACACTAATTGCATACTGACGTGAAAAAAAAGTGAACATTTTTATTAATATATAATTTTTATAAGAATTTCTTGACATGGCTGTTCTCTAACAAAATCAGAGGAACTTTTGTTAGGTGAAGCATTAGCTTTAAACTGATGATAATTACGTTGAGGATGATGATAATTCAGATGATGATGATGACAACAGTGAAAGTGACAGTTAAGTGAACTATACGTTTGCAGAAGAGGAAGCTCTGTGCTGTCCACTACCCGGCGCTGACAGTGACGGCAGACGAGACCATGAATGTGTCAGGAGCAGGAGACAGGTGCTGGACATTTAGTTGACCTACTACACATTATTTTTTAATTTCAAACTTTCTTTCTGCTTCTGTTTCATCCTCTTATTTCTCATGAACTTTTTCTCTCACTTACAAAATGATTGTAACTCAACAACATTCAAAACTAAACAACATTTATCCCTTCCCTGTCTGCAGTCTCGCAGGTGCTTTGATGGCTGGGATCCTCCGGCAGCGAGACACAGACAGCTGTGTTCGGATGGGGCTCCTGGCTGCTCGTCTCTCTCTGGCCTCACCACATCCTATCGCCCCAACGCTCACCTTCGAATCTGTGGATCCCAACAAAGTCAAGACTCAAGAATGGCCAAAACCCAGCTTCATGTGGATTGATTAAAAATGTTAAACACCATTTAAAAACCTACCTGGGGAAAAGTAGAAAAGTGGGTCTAATAATATGCATTAGTTTTTCAAATATTTTTGTCAGTTTGATAATTTTAGGCCTTTTAGTGTGTGATTGGATTGTAAAGCGTGATGTATAAAGATTCTACATTAAACCATTTAATACACATTTGATATGATATTTGATATTGGTCTAAAGACAAATAACTTAAACACTTTCTTGATTACAAATCATTGTGAATAAATTATAAAATGGTATAAGGTAGCCTGATGTGGTGGTTTATTTCTTAAAAATAAATAAAGATACATATTTAACAGGAAAGATAGATATAATACTATAGTCATTTTCTTGTGTTTTTCCTGTTTTCTTGTTCTGTAATTTAACTCCTAACAGTCTTTTTATATTTATTAACTTAACTAAAATCATTAGTCCAATGTTTTCTGTCAAAAAAACGTACCTAATATCAAAAGAATAAGAATGGTCACCCTTCAAAAAAGGAAGAAAAAAAAGAAAGAAAATGTATTGGCATAATTCATTGACAAAAAAAAGTAACAGTACTAATAAAACCATAATAATATTACAAGTAAAACTTTACCAGCAAATGTTCTTTCCTACATATTAAAGAAAAACACAATACTTCAGTTCTTATCCATAACCAGCATCACACTCCCTTTATCTATCTGGAATATTATTTGTAAATGCACCCTCCAGTCCCACGCTGGCCCCACTTCAACCGAAAACGTCATTTCCCACAAAGCATCTGTCCTTCAGCGCAGACTCAGTTGCTATGAACACTTGCCCCACTCCCTCCTCCCTACTTTAATGCTAGCTAAGATGGTGGTTTGAGCGTAAATTGTCTCCACTATACCAAGAAAAGAAAGGGGCGAAACATCTCTATAGCCTTTTAATCACAACAGAACAACATAACTACGGTTATCTTAAGTGACCGGTTATAGGAATTTTGACATTTCAGACACATAGGCTAGCAGTCCCCGCCCAATTTGGTGTGACTCCCTTTGGAGAGGAATCCTAAGCTAAATACGGACAGGGTAAGTAACGCTAGCCGAGATGCTAGTTGGGCTAGCCAGCTTCCATCCTGCCATAATAAATAAAGGACAGTTGTGTGTATGTCACTATTTTACACACGGATAGTGGAGTATTCTCTGCCCAGTGTCCAGGTAATCTGAATGTCGTGAGAGCCATGTCAATTGTTTATAGTGCCAACAACTTGTTCCCAGGTTAGCATTAGCTTGTGTAGGCCTCATCGTAAACTCTGATGAGAATGTAGCATGCTAGCTATGCCGATGCTAGCGGTCAGCTTTAAGCAAGCTGTCAGTTAATATGTGAGAGAAGGCGTATCGTTGTGGCAGAGGTATTTTAAAATGTCAGTATGGAGTAAATAATGACCTCTGTGTTTTGGTTTTGTGATTACACTCACAACTGCTCCTGGATACTTGCTATTAGTTAAACCGGCTTCTTTCACCAATTCGCGGCTAATGTTAGCTTAGCCTAATGTTAGTCAAATAACATCTGTCATAATGTACGATCCAGTAGAGAGAGAAGCTAAAGTTACCCGCTAGGTACTCAGGCTTCATACACGACTTTACCAATCAGCTGGTTTCTGTTAGGGAAGCAGGAGAACTGTGACACTCCTGTACGTGTTAATGTATCAGTGAAATGTTGGCACATATTTGAAAATGTTGGCATTTCCCTGTTATCGTTTAACTCAGCTGTACACTGTCAGGTTTGATCAATCTGGGTTTATCATGAGCTGGCCTAGTGGCTGCAGTGTTGTCGTGTTGAAACCGGTGTGTAAATGCTAAAAGAATAAGGTCTCAACTGTACATAAATGCAGTTGTTTCCCTTTTGACGTGTATCATGACGATGTGTCAAATACTGTCAACCCTTGGAAGATGCCACAACATCCGCATTATCCCTTAAACATGATGACAGCTGTTTCGACTTGTTTTCTAAGATATACAGGCTGTGGTCTTTTATTAGGGTAGTCTGCATTACACGTATACAGTATGTCACAAAGCCCTGTAATGATTAAACCTTTGTGGAGGTTAACATGGATATTCAGGATATGTTTGAAATGTTTCAAATTAATGTTTATTTAACTCAATTTCTGGAGGCTTTTGCTTTGCAACCTATCAGAGCCGAAGTCTATTTTCTAAATGTCTAATTTTGTTTGATAAGTCGATATTCAGAATACTTTTAATTTCAGACTTGACTAATTGTTTCAGCTGAAATCTACTGAGAGCCATTTTCAATATTTGTGCTACACTCTGTGGCGGAAATGAATGAGACGAAACATTAGAAACACAATGCAGTTAACCGCCAGTACAATGTTTGTTGTAGTTTGTCAAACCACAGCCTATAAATCAACCATGCAGTTGAATCAACTCATCTCTTCAAAGTTTCATCAAAACGGTGTCAGCAGATTAACTCGTTGACTGTGGCGTTTCCTTTGCTGATAAAATGTGAAATGCATTTTGGTGTGCTCTGTCTGATATTGTGACCTTGGTGGTCATATCGTCGGTTTCAGAGGCTTTACTATCCAGCCATGTGTCAGGACGACAAGTTCAGCTGATATTATGTTGAATCATGTCATGATGGAGCTTTTAAACTTTGTTTGTTTTTTCAGCCTTGTGCTCTGTGACCAGCTTCGACGCTCACCATCGCCGTGCCATAGGATGTCCCACAGCCCTGAGATGAAGGACGACCCCATGGAGTGCCCTCTGTGTTTGGAGCCGCTGGAGATTGATGACGTCAACTTCTTCCCCTGCACCTGCGGCTATCAGATCTGCCGCTTCTGTTGGCATCGCATTCGCACAGACGAGAATGGCCTCTGCCCCGCCTGCAGAAAGGTGAGGAGATGATGAGATGGATATGAAGGCAGAGGAACTCATCACGACTGACAGGGGATTTTTCTTTAGTGACAACAGAAGGGATGATGATGCCTGTGTCCAAATATTAATCTGGGGGAGAGATACACTTTGGTTTTGCCCTCTAAAGCAGCCTGTTAGTTCAAACATTAGCTCATAGTCATTTACAGTTTACAGCCTCAACAGATTTGATTTTAATTGCACACAAATAAGACAGAATCAAATCCAGAAAATACGAAATGTGTTTCTTGAGAGTTCATGAAGCCATTGACTTAAAAAACAGACCTCCCCTCAACGTTCGGATAAAAAACTAACAAGAAAAGGAAAATCTGAAAGACAACATGAGGAATGAACCAATTATATAAAAACAAAGAAATAGTTTTTAAATAATACTAAAGAAAATAAAACATTCTGCTTGTACATATCAAAACATGTAAAGTAATCATGATACTATACTAATAAATCATATCAGATATATATATCATACATGATGTTCAGCTTGGCTAGTAATGTCTGTTGGACTACCATGTTGACAACCAAAGGCCTCAGTTACTCACTAACCTTTACGAAACAACTAGAATAGTATAATTGTTTCATATGTTTGATATCTCTAACATATTTCTCCTCTTATGTGTAGCCTTACCCAGAGGACCCCGCTGTGTACAAGCCCCTGTCACAGGAGGAGATCCAAAGGATAAAGAACGAAAAGAAGCAGAAACAGAACGAGAAGAAGCAGAAGGTGACAGAAAACCGAAAGCACCTGGCAAGTGTCCGAGTGGTGCAGAGAAACCTGGTGTTCGTGGTCGGGCTCTCGCAGCGACTCGCCGACCCAGAGGTGAGTTCAGGGGCGCTCCAAAAGCTCAGTGGTTTATGCTCGATGTGACTTAATAGTGTTGAAACTGTTTTAGCTTGATGTGAATATGGCTGTGACAAACTGAAGTAAACGGCTGCTAGATTTATTTTGGATTATTCTGACAGTCATTCTCAAAAATACATTCGTATATTTAATGCACATTTTAAAGGCCTTTCAGTGACAAGCTCCCTCTGAAGCCTTACGTTTCATTATTTTCTTTAAATGTTTTTAAGAGTTCACACTGCACCCGAAACTTTGTGATAAGTGATATATTTTGTTCATTGTGCTCACAGGTCCTAAAACGACCAGAGTATTTTGGGAGGTTTGGGAAAATCCATAAAGTGGTCATCAACAATAGCACATCATACGCAGGGTCACAGGTAAGAGGTTCGATGCCATCTACAATATGTATCCAAGATGTCTGTTTCTGAATAGGACCAGAACATAATCAATTAAATGTTTCTCTTTAACAGACACATGTTAACCCCTTTGTTGTAAACACATTATTTCTGTCTTTTTAGTTATTTTAATTGCATATCATGTCGTTTTCCCCCCTTTTTCTTTAGCATATCTTTTCTTACCCGTCATTATTGCAATGTGAGGAATCAATGTTAGAAATCCTTATTCATTGCTTTCCTGGAATACCTCTGTAAACAGAGTCATTCCGCTTCAACGGATGTGTTTGCCTTGTATGTTTACTTACATTTTCTGTTTTTACAGGGGCCGAGTGCCAGCGCTTATGTCACTTACATCCGCTCTGAAGACGCGTTAAGAGCAATACAGTGTGTAAACAACGTGGTCGTTGATGGGAGAACACTCAAGGTGAGACGTTAGAAACTGCTTTTCTCATATGTATATGATAAGGAGTTTTATTTGTATAAAAGCCATGTGATAACTTTATTCTATATTTATTTCTCTGTAAAATGTAAACATCCTTTAACTCTTTATGTTGTGTTCGGGTCTCCCGTGACCCGTTTCAAGTACAAATGATATAATAACTACATCGGAACAAGGCTTCACGAAGTCCTCCACAACAGCTATATAAACACTACAAAACAGATTTTGACAATTTTAGCCAAGACGGAAAATCTCCAAAGAAAAAAGTGTATAATTTGGTGTTGGGGTCTGGGGAGGCCCGGCAGAATTGTTTTGGGTGACTCGAGGTCAAATTTGGCCCAATCAAGATTCACCTTTGACTTTAGACACCCCTCCCCCTCCCCCTTCATCCACTGTAACAATCATTTTTTGCAACCTGGTCCGCGAACACCCTCCCTCTGCCCCCATCCCCCCACGGGAACTCAACCTTTCTCAAAGAATACACTAACACTTGAACCTGAACACACACATGCACGTGTGCAATATGTGGTGTAATGTGTTTTGGGCCATAACATTAAATCAACAGGATTGTACGGTTATGAATGCATAATAAGTTAGTTATGACCTTATTGGATGATGGCCATTTTTTTGTTGTCTTTTGGACTGAGATAAATCATGGGTCAAAATGTACCCGCCAACACCATGAACGGTAACAGCTTTCAAACACAACACAAGGGTTAAACAACCCGCTTTGTAGGATTAAACCAAAAGTCCTTGAAAGAAAAGTCCATAGGCTTGATTGACGAGTGTGTAATGGTCTTCTCTTTTTGTTCTGCTACAGGCTTCTTTAGGCACAACAAAGTACTGCAGTTACTTTCTTAAAAGTATGCAGTGTCCAAAACCTGATTGTATGTATCTACATGAGCTGGGGGATGAAGCAGCTAGCTTTACAAAAGAGGAAATGCAGGTAAATAGTTGTTTCTTTTTGTGAAATGTAAAACAAATTGTCACTCTTTGCTGTATGTGTTGACCATGGGTTATGCTCTTTATATTAACGAAAGGATTCATGTTGACCAATAGTGTGTCTATTTGTTTTTAGGCGGGAAAACATCAAGAGTATGAGCAGAAACTCCTCCAAGACCTCTATAAAATTAACCCTAGCTTTCTACAACCTCCAGCATGTGGAGCCGAGAAGTCAAAGAGCAAATCCAACTCCACACAGAGGTTGGTTTTGTATTGATGTCTTCCTCTTCTTGCTTCCCCTGGTGCAAAGCCTCACTTCTCTGCTGCTCTCTTTGTGACAGAAGCAACGGTAAAGATGGCTGGCCGACGCTGTCAGGACACAGCAAACTGTCCAATGGGATTTCAGAGGACCGCAAGTCTCCTCCGCTGCTAGACTTTCTAGACCAAGAAGGCATCACTTCAGACGGGCTAGACACAGACATGGGTTCTGCTCAGTGTTCTGCGCTGTCCCCCTTCTCCTCCAACTGCGACAGTAACAGGTAATGCACACCACTCTAAAAAATACTGTTTTATTTATTCTTCAAAAAGGTTTTCAGTTCATTTGTATCCAAACATGTCTCTTGTCTGTCAGACTACAGGGATGTTCTCACTAATATTATTTTTCAGTGTTATAACAGCAACTCCTTAAATTACATTTCTCTTAACTAAGAAATAGTTTTTTGATTCTGGATGTAACAGCGATGCAGCCATAGATTAAATTCATTTAATAATGTATCTACTTTTCAACACGTTTCCTCCTTGATGTTAGGGCTGTGCAATTAATCGTATTTTAATCTCATTACGATTCTGGCTTGCAACGGTTACGAAATCAACGTAATCGCCAAGGCACACTTATTATTTTTATTTAAAAATAAATACATTTAAAATTAAAAATTTTGAGTTGATTTATACTAAAAGTTCAGGGTAATCCACTGTTAAAAACATACTGTTCACATTTGGTTTTTTTCAATAAATTGATGTTTTCAAAGTAAATGGATCGTCGTTTTTAATAATCGTGATTTCAATTATTGACCAAAAGAATCGTGATTATGATTTTTGCCATAATCGCACAGCCCTACTTGATGTATTGGTTTGTTATTAAATACTAATAAAGTTGTCTGTCATTTGAATTTGCAGTCCCAGTGATAAACCAGAGTCGATCGGTATGATGAACGGAGAAACTTTCCAACAGGTAGAAACAATAACAATCATTTGTACCATGCCTTTACTCTCAGTTTTGTTTCGGTTACATGATTTTAAAATGAAGGACGATCTCACAAGCCCCTTTTTCCTCCCTCTTTCTCCAGATGGCCTGCAGTGACTCCCCCTCTCCCCCCCCGGGTCTATCAAAGCCCAGCCTGGTAGTGCCCATCAGCATGTCAGACCTCAGCGCGCGCTCACCCTTCGAGGGAGCGGCAGCCGAGTCCCAGTCGCTCTTTTCAGACAACAGCAACTTCAGACATCCTAACCCTCTCCCCGCCGGCCTCCCCCCCTTCCCCAGCTCCCCCCGCTGCAACTCGGACTGGCCCATGACCCCCGAACCACAGAGCCTTTTCACGTCAGGTAAAGTGGAGATTTAAACATTTCGTTTGTCTGTAGGGTTTTTGGTCTGGTTTCAAACAGTGAGTTGACCTGTCATCAGTGTTTTCATTATACTGTGGCCATTGGCATTAAACATCATAGCATTGACTGGAATAGTAATGTCTCCATAATTTAGGTATTTTCTGCTTATTTCCCTGGATTATAAAAATGGTGGAGACTTGGCCATCTTAATAATATAATAAAAAGACACATTTTATGGGAAATTAGCGAAAAAAAGGCATCAATTGTCTAGGGCTGCTCGATTATGGCTAAAATCTTAATCAAGATTTATTTTGGTCAATAATTGATATCACGATTATTAAATACGATTATTCATTGACTTTGAAAACATCCATTTATTGAACTTTAAAACAAATACAAATAATAGTTTGAACAGTATCTGTTTAACTGTTGATTACCCTTAACGTATAATTCAACTGCAAAACCAATACAAAAATAAATGATACATTTATATTCACATTTAAATAAATAATATCAAAAATAATAAAGGCCAATAAACAAGATCAACAAATATTTTGGAGCGCAATTCAATAAGCTACTAAACATATATAAATATGATAAATACAAATTAATTAGACTAAAATAAATGAGATCAAATATGTTGCAGTGCACTGCCACAACCTAGCAAAGCAAAATAATCATTTTTTTCGATGTTGTTTTCGTAATTGTGGCAGGCCAAAATCGTAATTGCGATTTAAAATACGATGAATTGCACAGCCCTATAATTGTACCTGTTGGGTGTATCCCCGTAGTGTCGACAAAATAATCTTAGTAATTTAAAATGACCCTTGTGCTTGATGGCATCCAGCATGGAGAAGGAAACAGTGTTTATTTGTGACACCGTTTTGAATGGTGCCTTTTAGTAAGCAATTATTTGAATGGGAGAAATTTGAATGGGAGTGACTGTTTTTAGAAATAATAACATCGAGACAAAAAAAAGTCCTCCTCAACACTTGTATCACACTTGCAATTTATATATCTTCATATTTGCATGTTTTTAGAGTTTGTCATCATAAATGTCTTAAAGAAGAGATAAATATTGAGTAGAAATAAGAAGTGGACATCCTTTTTACAAAACAAGAGGGTTGGCTTTAACCCGCAGTAACCCTCATTGAGCTGGATGTTGTGTGTTTGCAAACTGTGACCGAAAATGTCTATTCTTTGTGACAGTTACAAAGTTCTTTACGGGGAAAGAAAACAAAGAAAACAATTAGAAATAGAAATGTAAAACTATAAGAAAAATACAAAGTGTTTGGAAATGTTTTAAATAGTAGAAAGTCACAGAAGTAGCCTCTCTGGTGTTAAAGGCTAAGCATCCCAAAGTCTGGAGACTCGAGGCTAATCATCAATTAGCTGAAGAATTCCCACGGCTCGTCAGTTCGTACTTTCTCACATGAAGAACGGCTCCATAACTCCTCTCTCCTCTCTCCTCCCTCCTCCCTCCTCACAGACACAATACCAGTGTCTTCCTCCACAGACTGGCAGGCGGCCTTTGGCTTCGGCTCGTCCAGCAAACAGCAGGACGACGACCTGGGCTTCGATCCGTTCGACGTCACTCGTAAAGCCCTGGCCGACCTGATCGAGAAGGAGCTGTCGGTGCAGGATCAGTGCCCCTTGTCCCCGGGGCTCCTCTCCCACAACGCTCACAGTCACGGCCTGCCCCCCATGAACCCGAACGCCTCGCACCACTTCCCCAGCGGCCTGCCTCGCCTCCCCCAGCTCCACCACAGAGCCATCTACAGCTCCTTCAGTTTCCCCGGCAGTCACAGCCAGGCCAGCCAGCAGCAGCTGCTATCCTCCAGACACCCCTGGATGGGCGTCCCCACACGAAATAACCTCACACACTTGAACCACTCAGCCAGTGCTGCCTCACACAGTAATTACCTGGACCTGAATCTGCCGCCTCAGCACAACACAGGGCTGGGCGGGATCCCCATCTCAGGTACTGGATGCCTTTCTGCATGTTAACACTGAGTTACGTTACACGTTCAAACTCTTATCTAATATCACAATTAATATACACTGCGGCCTTGTAGCATTGTGATAAGTGATGGACAGTAACTGAGTAAATAAACTAAGTACTTAAGAAGAATGTTGAGGGAACTTTGACTTTACATTTGACATGTTTTGCTATGTTATACTTCTACTCCACTTCATCTAAGAGGGGAACAGTATACTGTTTACTCCACATTCATCGCACAGCTGAACTTACTAGTTATTTTACAGCTTAAGATTTTACAATGAAATGTATATCAAACATTTACAAAAACATATCCTGTGTTTTTTAATGAACCGGTATGTAAAGCTCCTCTAGCAATAGCAGTACAAGTATGTTAAAGCACCAGTGATTATAATCCAATTATCTGATTTGATTAATAATAATATATTTAACATAATAATTGACTTTCTGAAAGGAGCCATTCTGCCTGAAAACTTCAGGTATTTATTTCTCGGACGTTTACTTGTAAATTGGTATTTCCTTCGTTAAGTAAATGATTTGAGTTCTCGCTCCTCCCATTGATTGTGATACTTGTTTCAATGAGTGTTTATTGACCTCACAGAGGGCATGCTGGTAGATGCAGTTCTGCAGCTGACCACTAGTCGGCAGAAAGTGACTGATTCTCCTCCTCTCCTGCAGAGAACAGTGGCTCTATAGAAGGCTTAAATGTGAAAGAGTGGCAGGACGGCCTCAGAGCTCTGCTGCCCAACATCAACATCAACTTCGGGGGCCTCCCAAACTCCTCTTCCTCTTCATCCTCCTCATCCTCCAACAGTGTTAACCACATCGGGGGCCCGATGGGGCCGGCAGGTCTCTCACACAGCCTGAGCTGGGAAAGCCCAGCCAGCTGGATGGACCCTGCCATCATCACAGGTACACACTGTCCCTTTAAGGCAGTTGGTTAGGAGACACCGTTTCTCACGGCACATCAAAGCTGGACATCAGTTTACTAAAATACCAGACAAAGAAACTCTTTCCCACAATAAAGAGGCTGGAATCCAAAAATGTGTGACATATGAGGAATGAAGTAGTTTATTTAATGTAATTTAATAATTAATATACTTCTTGTTTTGGACTTGATCAGACAAAATAAAGGATTATAAAATGCCATGTTGGCCTCTGGATCATCCATTCGAAATAAATGTATAAAACAACAAATACAATAAAAAAATAAACAGCATAAAACTCACTCCTGGAAATAAGTAGTTGGTAGTTTGCCGCCTCATTTACATAACACTACGTTATTAAATCATACAGATATAAATGAATGAGTTGACATGGTCTCTGATGTCATAGAAAACGATCAGAACCCTTAAAATCCCTGACATCGGCATAACTGTAGCTATGTCCGACTAAATAAAGAACCTTGAAAAGATAACAACCAAAGCCCTAAGAATATAAAAACCACGGAAATGAACTTCAAAACTTTGTCCTGGTATCCTCATCAGATCCCAGAACTATGAAAAAACACTTAAATCGAAGCAATAAATTAATTCACAAAAAACTAAACAAAAATACATGAAGTTTAAAAACAACCCTCAAAGTGTTTCTGTATCTCACCTTGTGTTTATCCCCAGGTATCCCGGCGTCAGCGGGGAACAGTATAGACTGTCTCCAGGACGACAACCCCCCCCACTGGCTCAAGTCTCTGCAGGCTCTCACAGAGATGGACGGTCCGGCCTGCTCTGCGATGTCCGCCCCCCCCCAGCCCCTCCACAGCAGCCTCCTGGACGCCCACATCCCCCTCCACCACAGAGCAGCCAGCAGCTGGGCCTCCCTACATGCACACCCCAACCCTGCCAGCCAGTTCCATTCCACCCCACCGGCTTCCAGAACCGCCTTCAGACCCCCCGGACAGCCGGCCACAGAGCTGCTACAGAGTGCCGCTGTGGACCGCCACTGAACACAGACTACACCCCCCCACTTTATACCCACTCATCCTGTACCCCTCCCCTCAATCCAATACACACCAATCTGCAGAGTATGAAAAATTATTAACAAAGTAACAAACATGCTTTCTTCTTTTTCTCTTCCTCATTCCCTTACGTCGACTCCCAGGCCCATTTGTTTTTGTTTGTGGCGCACAAGTCATCGGTCCTCTTTCCATGCGACCATCATCACTCCTTAGACCTAGTTCTGGGCGCCACATGGCATTCATGATGTAGCTCGCTGCTAACGGAGAGCACAGGAGACAGTTTAGCACCGAGCGCCCAGCGGTGACACCAGAGCTAACACCACAGAGAAACAAATGAGCTGAAGGGAGGTGTTTTTAAAAAAAAGTAACTAATGATTAAGCATGAACAACATTTATGTTTCTGAAAGGTGACGATTCGTTTTCTCGAGGAATTAAGCAAGCTGTGAATCTGCTCTTGAAGCTTTGCCCCAAAGACCCTCATCCTCCCCACTTTAACTGGGTCAACCCTAACAGCCAAGTTGTGAATAAGAGGTGAGAGAGAGAGAGCGAGAGAGAGAGAGAAAAAAGGGGTTGGCGCTTCTGAGAGTGTTTTTAAAAGAAAAGCTGAGATTTGGTTGTTAGAGTGAATGCAGATGACAGGGGAGTTGAGGGCACAGGCTATGCATGGACTCCCTGTTCGGTGGGGACACAGAAGGCCGGCCTGAGAGGCCACTTGGCCCACTTTCCCTTTAGTGGAGGACTCCCACTGGCCCTGTCCTGCTGCAGGGAGAATGCTGCTGAACCTCTGTATCAGAGGATAGAGCACAGGGCAGCAGGGAGAGGGTGGCACACATCCTAAACTCTAGGGTTAGACTCTTACTCACAGTGCCACTGTGTGGTGCCTACAGTAGCTACCCCTAACATGGACAGCCACCACGAAGAGAAGACAAAATGGATGAGGATATGTCAAAGATACTAAAGAGGGTAGCAACAGGGTTAGCAGGTCCCTTTGTTGGACCCATGAGGGCTTAACCGAGGCCTTAAAACAGACAGCTGAGAGAAAGGAGCTTGAGTGATTGGAGGGCGAGTCTAGCGTCAAGGATTGCTGAAAAAAATGCAATATTGTATGACTTCAGCAGCTGTATGTGAGGGTCCCAAAGGAAGGGGCTGCAAGACAATTCCAAGTACTGTAGCAGTGATTTAAAAAGCTCTCATCCTTTCTAGGATTTGAGACCGACCTCCGACCACCGCCTATTTTCTTTTTTGAATTCTTAATTCTGATCTATGTTCGCTCTGTCTCTTTCTCTCTCTCTTACCCTCCACTCCCACCCCTCCTGCTGTTCCCTATTTAACAGTATTTCACAAAAATGAACAAAATCATCCAGGAGAATCCAACAGTCATACAGTGGGTTTTAACATGATGTTGCACATTAAAAAAAACAAAAGTGAGGCGCTAAAAGGAAGTGAACTGTCCTCTGCAGGTCTGGAAAAATGAACCTTAAATAAAACTGAAAACTCAGAGCTGGTGTTTGTCTACTGTTGTGTTCTCAGCGACCCCGTTTCAAACATGTAGACTTATTAATATTTAAACTTGAAAGTACTCACCGCCATACTGTGTATAACTCCCGAGGGTGGTCACTATAAATCACTCCTGCTTGTTGTTCCAATGTCTTCCACTAGAGGGCAGCTGGCTTTCTGTCAGTGATGAAGCTCTGCAGTCAAACTTCAGTCGAGCACACACTAGATTACACAGAATGATACCACACTTTCTCAAAGACACCATGTTTAATCACACTGGATAACAATTACAAGTGGTTACTATGTACATTAAATAATACACACAACTATAATGCAGATATGATTTGTTCTCTCAGTTGTCAGGGCTATATGTGTGTTTTCAGTGGGAGCAGAGCATGCGTGCATATGGCAGAGCTTCAGTCTGCAGCTCTGCTCTCTCCCAGCCGATGCAGCAGTAGAAACCTGCAGAGACTCCTGTCCTGTAGCTCTGCTGACAGACACAGGGAGGAGCCAGTCCATACAGGGGCTTCAGTGGGTATCTGAATCAGGTGACTCGATACACACATTTTACATCAATATTGTTTTGCAGTCTGCAGTGGGCAGAAGGACAATCCAAAGTTGTCAGTGGATTGGGGCTGCAATTTAATAATGATTTCCTTATTGATTAATGCGTTAGGACAATGATTTGACACGACAAGTTTGGACAGTTTTGGTCTGTAATAATGCATTAAAAGCATTTACTAGCAGGATCTATTTTATGAAATAATTGATTTATAAGACACTATACTGTATTTATAAGCAGATATAAAGACAGATATGTAAGTGTCAATAATGTTCAGGTTGGAGTAGAACTTCTTAAACAGGTTTTATTGTATTATTACAATGTGTTATAACAGGATTATATATGTATAAATATATACATGCAGTATGTGTGTCTAGTGCTTATCCGACTGGCCCACCACGGTACCGCAAGTAAATACTGCTAGTAAATTGTCGACCGGGGTGGGGGGGTTCCAGTGACTTATCCGACCGGCCCACTTCAGTACCGGACCATCGGGATTTGTCCCGATGGCCAGTCCGCCACTGCTCTTGTCCCTCTATTTTGGACTTATAGTTTTAGCCCCTCTAGTTCCCGCTCCTCTGGTTTCAGACCCCTGTTACAGACCTCTCTGTTTACAGCCCCTCTTGTTGTAAAAACTCTGGTTTCAGGCCCTCTAGTTACGGACCCCTCTGGTTTCAGGCCCTCTAGTTACGGACCCCTCTGGTTTCAGACTCTCTGGTTTCAGACCCCTCTGGTTTCAGACTCTCTGGTTTCAGACCCCTCTGGTTACAGACCCCTCTGGTTTCAGACTCCTCTGGTTACAGACCCCTCTGGTTACAGACCCCTCTGGTTTCAGACCCCTCTGGTTACAGACTCCTCTGGTTACAGACTCCTCTGGTTTCAGACCCCTCTGGTTACAGACTCCTCTGGTTACAGACCCCTCTGGTTACAGACTCCTCTGGTTACAGACCCCTCTGGTTTCAGACCCCTCTGGTTACAGACCCCTCTGGTTACAGACCCCTCTGGTTTCAGCCTCCTCTGGTTTCAGACCCCTCTGGTTACAGACCCTCTGGTTTCAGACTCCTCTGGTGTCAGCCCCTCTGGTTCCAGCCCCTCTGGTTTCAGACCCCTCTGGTTTCAGACCCCTCTGGTTTCAGCCCTTCTGGTTACAGACCCCTCTGGTTACAGACTCCTCTGGTTACAGACTCCTCTGGTTTCAGACCCCTCTGGTTTCAGACCCCTCTGGTTACAGACCCTTCTGGTGTCAGCCCCTCTGGTTCCAGGCTCCAGGTGCTGAGGAGGCTTTGGCAGAGGAAGGTGAGTGTGTGAATAATGCAGGCAGGCAGCAGATTCAGGAGCTGTGACAATGAGTCAGCAGCAGCACAGATGAGGGGGTTAGCTCTGCTGAGAGTGTTCCCGGACCAACACACACTCATGCAGACACTGCTCTGAAACATAATGGAGGGATCTTTGTGATGATGCATACCTGACAAGAATAGCATCTGTTTATGTTCCACAGCTACAGAAAATAACTCCAGTGTTTGGTCCTTTTTCTGCTCAAGTGGAAAAATAATACAGAACGCTCCTAAAATCATGCCTGACTTAATTATTAAGTGCTCTGTGAAGGACGCCGAATGATTAGCTTATTGATTTGCTTGCTTTGCTGAAACTGCATATTCATGCTCATTATTATAAGAGGAAGGGGCGGACTTGAAGATGAAGGATGAAGTCAAAGAGGTTGGAGGTTATTCGTTATTTTGATTTCAAAGCACAAGAATTGAAAATGTTCCAGCAAACTTCAATTCCCTCCAGTGAATGTTGGACTGAAGTATGCTGACTAGCCAATAAATGTCCACAAACCGCATTTATCTATGTCCAGGTGTTTCATCAGGACAGGCAAAAAAGCCCTGATGTTTCACTCTGTCCTCTGCAGGGGTTCAGCCTGTTAAACTGCTGAAATCTTGCTTTCCTTGAGGACTGCAGCTATGAGGGCATGTGGAGAGGGCACAGTAGCTGCAGTGTGCTGAGAGGCAACCATGGATTATGAAACAGTATACAATAACGCATCGTCTGAAGTGAGTGACATTTTGCAGGTGAATCAGAAAGTGCTGCAGTATTTTGTTCCCACTGGGGATACAGATTGTTTGTTTTAAACCTCATTCCTTCCACACTGGCAGTCCTCTACACAGTCCTCTACTCAATTCTGCAGCACACTGTACAAAATAATGTGAGAAACCAGCAAGGAATTCCTGAGTTGCAATATATTCTTAAGGAACTGTGTTGACATTAATGGTTGGGGGAGGAGGGGGAAAGGAGCAAGCCTTATTCATATTTTCTTTGGCCCCTCCCTTTCACTTAAAAAAAAAACTGCAACACAGCAGTGTCGATATCATAAATAACTTAAATGTATTTGACAAGTAGTGACCTTGTTTTCATCCTAACCCTGAATTCGATTTGTCTGTTTAGGATATGCTGACTGTTTAAGGATTAATATAGACAAGGTTGCTGTGTAAGACTGTATGTACGCACAGCAGGTCTTTGAGCTAAACGCTAACATCAACATGCTAACATGCTCAGAATGGCAATATCTACATGCTAATGATAAGCACATATTCATGCTTTCCCGCTCAAATGAACATATATGCATGCTAACATTTGCTAATTTCCACCATACACCAGAGTATTGCTGAGAAGGTCACGGGCAGTTATGATTGGCTCAGGCCGCTGGAAAATCTGTCCACAGTGAGATGCAATTGCCAGAGCAAGTAAAACATGAGCTTGCAAATTTGTCTGGTTCCCAGCCAACCAAAGTGTTAGACCGACCGACAAACGGACAGTTCATCTTTGGAGCAGGGGCACGGGCACAGGGGGCCCCTGACCTCTTGGGCCCCTGGACCTGTGCTAGTTCAGAAGTTCATTCGTTACGATCTGTACACTTCTTTTTCTTTATCTTACCAAAAGTGACCAAACTCTTTTTATGCAAGTCAGCAATTCAGTTTGACAGCAGACCGTAATGTGTGTCACTGAGGAGGACAACCTCAACTTACATTTTGAGGTTATGTGGTTTTCGCATGTCATTATGATAGTTGATGATATATATGTAATTTCCGGGCCCTGGTTTGCTGCCTGCATGCGAAACCTGCAGGGACGCCTCTCAGCATAAAGCACTCTCTCCATTTGTCAGCTTTTGACAGGCTCTCTCACCAGTGGGGCGGCCCGCACTGCAAGAAATTACCATTCTGGCAGGTTATGCAGTTTTATATTAGGCTATGAAAACTAGAGCTGAAATTATTAGTAAATTAATCAATTGACAAAAAATGAATAAAGAATCATTATTGAGATTTTTCACCACTTAAAAAAAGCTTTTATTTTCTAATGTAAACTAGAAATTACGAATAAATAATACAAATAAGTTATTCAAGTTAGTTGTAATCCTTAATTAAATCTTTAAAAGTATTTTTTTAAATGCTACAAATAGACAAAATAATGTCCCTTCTCTGTAGGGTTGTACATTAACATGTGTTTTTGTGACAAGAGAAAAATAAGAAATAAATAATCTGCATCTGTAATTTAATTGAAGTTAATTGCCACTCAAAATGTATTAAAGTGTTTCCCCTTATATGCAGAAAGTATCTGAGATTGAATGACTCAATAAGGTGGATATTTTTTACAGTGTGCACACAAGCCTTTACTGTAAACTCCACCAGCAGTACAGTTAATGTGTCCTGGCCAGGAAAACTGACATGCTGCTCGATCATCCTACAATATATAATGGCTCTTCTGTATGGGCTCTGCATGTGGAGCAACATATGCAGTGGTTTATAACTGTGTCTCTGTGTCCTCTGGTGTATCTCTGGGGAAGAGACATATCCAATGCATGTTTGCTTTCCTCTTTTTACTTTTCTTCTAGTCGACACGACAGCCATTTAAGTGTCCTACATATTTAAGCTACTGTAAACATCAAAATGACATAATTATCTGTTTTCAAAAGAATTTTTCCTGAAGAAGTTAAAGATACGATAACAATTCAAAACAGTAAAGTAACGTTTTGCAGGAGATGAACGACTGTCAGGCTGTTGGGGAGATTTTTGGCAAATAGGTTTTCTTGCTGAGAGTAAGAACATCCAAAAAGGTTAGGTGAGGTTAAAGTATGAAAACCAGTGGAGACACTTAGTCTGTTTTTAGATAACCAAACCAGGCAACCAGCACCTCTACAGGCACACCGAGAGCCCCCCCAAATGACTCCTGTTGGAAGTTGCCCCCCCACACACACACAGGGGGGGCGCAACAGCGGTAATTAAAGTTTAAAAGTCTCAAAGATGCTACAACTACTTTCACAAACTGGATGAATGTGAAGTATTTTGTTAAAGGAGGATGAAAGCGTAATTAAGGAGCACTATTGGATGGTTATTGGACTCAGGATTCATTCATTTGGATTCCCGCTGTATGAAGAAATTAAA